ACAGTGAGCACAATGAGCACAGTGAGCACATGTGCTCTGCTGACCGCGACTAAGTCCAGTTCTTTTGGTCGTGCCACAAAACATTTATTACATCGTAAAAACTCCAACAAAATCCACACAAAAAAGCAGAAAAAAAACACGCAGCTATAAAAAACGGTCATGAAGAAAAGATTTGACTTGTTTGGGTTAGAAATTCTTAGAGGAAATATTGTACATTATAAAGCCAGCCACGCAGTCAGAGAAATGAGTGTGGCTTTATTCAACTAGCGATGCATTTTTTTCTTGTGTGGGACATGCTAACCCAGTTTAGCCCGGCAGAAGTGCGTGTCAGTGCTACGTGCAGAATGTGTGGCACGTATTTAGATATCCTGACCCATCCTGTTTTTTGAGTGCAGATGATGTGATTAGGACGGTGAAGTGATCGGGACGGTGAAGTGATCAGGACGGTGAAGTGATCGGGACGGTGATGAGATTTGGATGGTGATATGATGGGATCAGAGCGGTGATGTGATCGGTACAGTGATGAGATTGGGGCGGTGATGCGACATGATCGGTACGGTGAAGTGATCGGGACGGTTATGTGATCGGGACGGTGAAGTGATCGGGACGGTGATGTGATCGGGACAGTGAAGTGATCAGGATGGTGATGTGATCGGGACGGTGATGTGATCAGGACGGTGATGTGATCGAAGATGTTATTGTGACGGTGATGTGATCGGGACGGTGATGTGATCGGGATGGTGAAGTGATCGGGACGGCTATGTGATCGGGACGGTGATGTGATCGGTACGGTGAAGTGATCGGGTTGGTAATGTGATCGGGACGGTAATGAGATCGAGACGGTGATGTGATCGAAACGCAAGATGCTCAGACTGCCTGTTCAACTAAATTGTCTTCTTATGTACACAAATGTAAACAAAATTTCAATTTTCATATGACATTTTAATTTCAATGTTCGTTTTAGAAGTTAATTCTTCCAAATTCGGCTTTTTATTTCTATATAATTCAAATATTTTATATGTAGTTTAAATTATTGTGTCTATCAACACATGATGTGTCATGATATATAACTTAGGCTGAGGCAGTGGTCTAATCATTGAGATTTAATAGGCATTGTACAGCATCACAAATTTATTAAATTTTGTTGTACAGATTATTTATGCAGAACCATCATGAGTTCACACATGAATGTTTAAGTAAGTCTGAGCAGTTTAATTTCTAAAATAAATCAGACTGAAAATATTATTGTTGATGAGTAAAATTGTAGATTTGTGCTCACTTTGTAAAGGTATCAACTCACCCATGAATGTATTATATTAAACTACACAAATAATCAAGGAAATGGTTTTTGTTATTCGAAGAGAAAGATTAGACTTCGAAAAAAATAGCGAGCGCTACGTTCAATTTGAACTTTGTAATTTATAGCACACTGTACAAGGACTTTTACGAAACATGATAAATCAGAACTTCCATTTTTTCAACCAATTTTGTATACAAAATTATGATTCACATTTATGATAATTAACTTATAAGTCATTATCCTATAAGTCACACACAAAATTATAAGTCACAAAATCATACGTCACATAAGTCACATCTATGCAGAAATTCTTTTTCAATTTTATGCGCCAGACGTCGATCTCGAAGCAAAACCAGAGCTGTAAATAATCCAGCAACGACGTCCATAAATGCAGCGTCAATGGTCCAGCGCTGAGAAGCTTTCCAGATATTCCGCTGGAATTCTTCCGCTATGATTTCCCTTTTGTTGAAATGCCTTCGAAACTTGGCAAGCCGCGAGGCAATGCTAAATTCTCGGTTTCGCTATCCGCTCGGAGGCAAAATTTTTACTGCTTTGGTAAAAATCATAGGAGTGTCATGAGTGGCCGGCTAAAAAGGCTTATGACAATACACCATAAATCTTTGAAATAGTGATAAAACTTCCCATTGATGATAGCATGAGTGGGTTGCCATAAAGTGATTTATTTTCAGCACTTTTGCGAACAAGGGACTTGATTTTGCGCAAAAGGTTTCCTACCAGTTTGTGAAATGGGCTGATGACCAGTTTGTGGAATGGGCTGCTGACCAATTTATGAAATGGGCTGCTGACCAGTTTGTGAAATGGGCTGCTGACCAGTTTGTGAAATGGGCTGCTGACCAGTTTGTGAAATGGGCTGCTGACTAGTTTGTGAAATGGGCTGCTGACCAGTTTGTGAAAAGGGCTGCTGACCAGTTTATGAAATGGGCTGCTGACCAGTTTGTGAAATGGGCTGCTGACCAGTTTGTGAAATGGGCTACTGACCAGTTTGTGAAATGGGCTGCTGACCAGTTTGTGCAAGGGGTTGCCGACCATTTTGTGCAAGGGGATTACCGAACAGTTTGTGCAAGGGGCTACAAACTAACGAGTGACAGTGACTACAGACGAATCAATATATTGACGCCAAGGAGCACGTTTATGATGAAAGGTCGGTAGCTTTCTGCCAGTTTTGCTCTTGTTCTGTAGCTCAATTGGTCGATCAATCTTTTATTCACTCTCTCATTCGACGGATCAAATGAGGCCAGGCATGCAATAAATAACTATGAATTCATTTCGCACTATTGCAAGATTCTTCATCATTGTTGACCCTTCGAAAAATTAGTCATTCAGAATTATTCGCGCCCGATTAACAAAGGTCGTTCTCCCAAACTACGAATCGCTGCTTCAATTCAAACGTCACAACAAACAAAGCTCAGCCTGCATTGATCTTCATTTCAATACAAATGCAATCCATGTTTGTATCTATACGTCAACGTTTGATTTCGTAAGCACCAGATTGTTACAGTGTCCATTCAGGCTCGTCATTCACATATCAAAATATCGTCCTTCAAAATACAAAGCTTGTAAAGTTTGCTTGCGAACCTGTCAGTCCACAGCAAAAATCTTTTCCAGTATGGCCAATGCGAGGCCAATGATCGGCCACCGTTGATTCGGCTGTAATTTTGATCAATGGTTCACTTGTGCATTATTCATCGGGTAAATATTAGCACGTTGTCCCGACACGATCTGCAAATGTTGCACAACGTTTGTTGAAAATTCGCGAGCAGAAGCAGATGTGCCGCGCATGTTTGCTGGAGCGTCGCGTCGCTAACATAATGCACCATAAAACTTATGTCAACATATAGCATGCATCTCTTTGAAAAGAATGTCGCTTCTTTACTGAATATATAATGGGCAGGGATAAATTACAGAGCAATACTGCATGCCTGAGCAGCTTGGGGGGGAACGGAACCCCAGGGTCCGAGTTCTGAGGAAGAATATTAAGCGACGTCCGTGGAGGAGAAAAATCTTTTTCCAACACGTGTGCACGTGTATTTTTCTGATGCCGTAATTCGAAATTGTCAACTCACCAAATGCAACTCGTATTACAATAATTTAAACACATCTTGACGACTCTTATAGATTGTCGTTAAATTGTAACAATTTTCATTTAAAACACCTGAGAGCCTCAAGGTAAAAGTTCATTCCTGTCAACTGACCATCTCTTAAATTTAATTGAGTTATTCAGTTATTATCAAAAGGAATGTTCAGCTACAGTTTTCAAACTATTGCAAGTCTGCTCCTTTCCTTGTACATATAGACTCCAAGTTCATTTAATATAAATTTATTCATATTGAATTCTGTATGAATCATATCATTCATATCATAATTCTTCATCCTCGGTCTTAGGTTTGTCGTTTTCTTTGCCACTGTGTTCGCTCATTTATTTTTCCATGTATTTTCCAAAAATATTTTCCCAAAAAAATTTCTCACGCGAAATTGCAGTGCGTGTTGCCCAGACAACCAACTCATTTACCATTAAAGTAAAAATTAAAAAACTAATAAATAAAAACAATAGGAATAGGAAAAATTAACTTAACTTCAAAAATATAAACCAAACGATCTGCTCCACCGAAGCTATCACCTAAATAACTTTCACGCTAACTTTTCGACATGACTTATCCAAGCTTCGGAGTTAGTCTCTGTGGTCAAATTCCGAAACTCTCCGCCAAATATATAGCATTCCTGAACGAGGTCACGGCAAAGGTGATTGAAAAATTGAACGAGAAATAACAAGAATCATAACGTATGATCAAGCAATATAATGCGCATCGTTCCTTTAAAGTAACATATCTCAATCTCAGTGCATCTTTTTCGCGCATTATCTCATCTATGGAAAAAAGGTGCTATTGTGCCCGTCATGTCCGTCCGTCTGTCCGTGACTTCACGTTTTCGTCGACGAGAAAATGCGCTTTCTGTCACTTACTGCAGCGAGTTCTGAGTTATATTCTTTATATGTCTTCTCCATGAGGTTATTTTCTCGGGCCCTAAACAATTCTGAATATATAACTTTCTATATGATTTAGTTATTTCGCGTGAGTGTCTCTAACGACGCAGCAAAGGTCAAGTAATCAAAATTGCGCTTTACTGCAGTTTCGTCTATTGATGCCTAACTTTACCCTGCCGAACTGTCAATTGTTCGCATTCGGTATTCACGACCTCCGTTAATTGTTAGAAAGTTAAGAGGTTTTTCAGTGCATTGATAATTTAATGTGACCTTCCAAGATCATTTTTTAGTTATAATCGTCCGACTTGATGTCTTCGATAATGGTTGTTCATTGCGACGATGCAGCAAATCTAAAGACGAAGCAGAAATTATGTAGACAATACTAGAGTTCTGCAGACGAAGCTGAAACAGTGCAGACGATGCAAGAGTTCTGCACATGATGTAGAAGTTATGCAGACGATGCAGAAGTTCTGCACATGATGCAAGTAATAAACGATGCAGAAGTCATGCAAACTATGCAGGAGTTCTGCAGATGATGCAGAAGTTATGCAGACGATGCAGAAGTTATGCAGACAAATCAAGAGTTTCAAATTTACGAGTCTTGTCAACTCAAAATACCCGTATTTTCTTAATGACGTGCAATCTTTCCGTTGCTCTTAGGAGGGATAAAAATGCCCACACGTTCTTTATTACTGTGTATTTATTAAATAAACACGGCGGGTCCTTTAATTTAATTCATACGACGCACCTCATGCGTGTTAATATGTACAGATATATTTTAACAGAATTAATTTTTTGCATAAATGAAAATAATATGGACTAACATCATTCATGTGTGAACAGACGTCATACAAACAAACATCATTCATGTGTAAACAGACGTCATACAAACTAACTTCATTCATGTGTAAATAGACGTCATACGAACAAACATCATTCATGTATAAACATACATCATCTGCGAACTAGCATGTGTATGTGTGTGTGTGGACACTGCGTGGCAGAAATCACCACTGAATTTATCAGTAACGAACACGTTTTAATTATTGCAGTTCAAGTCTACGGAAGCAGTGCGAAGGTTTCGCTTAGTTTGTTCCCCACGTCGCTTATTTTACGTCATTTTCCTGTACATTTTACGGAAAGTTTGTTAGCGTTGGAGTTTCGCGACCAGTTTCTTTACCATTGTTTGGTGTATACACTGTACATGAAACTGAATAAATAGATAAGTAAATGGAAACATAGATATTTATGATAAGAATGAGAACAATTATAAGAATACTATTCTACATATTTCACTGAATTACTAGCATCATATGCGGTTAGTAGCGGAAAGACTTATTCACTAATGTGCAGTACTTTTTATTTCTTCGGGCAACGTAATACACAATATATTTTATATCGTGTAAATTCTCATAGATTTATATTTCTTAATTAATTAATAAATCTTTGTTAGGCATAGCATAATATACTTTCGTTCAAGCTTATCATACATCCCTGAGCGATCTTACGTCATAGGTATTAAGATACACACACGCGTCGTATAAACAATAATTCCTCACATTAATATTATAAATATTGTTATCGTTTGCTGTTCGGATCCTAAGCACTCAAATCGGAGAAATGTTTTGAGCTCTGATGAGCGCTCACTGGAATTAGGAGGTCCTCGAAACAGCCCTAGAGTTGTCTAACTTATGGCACGCCAGGTCAGAATCAGCGGCTTTCCCGCGAGAATTGTTCGCGGTCGAAACCGGGACCTGAAATTGCACCGTTGCTTTACTAACGTAAAGGCCGGCGGTGTGAGGCTCGGCCGAAGATAAACCGCCGCTGGAACCCATCAGAGGAGAAGCAGATATCCGTGAAATGACAGGAGAACCTGGGACAGCATAAGTCAGGTGGGACCGAGAGAGGCTGGACGCGCATGCATCAGTCAAACAGTTTCGTGTCCGAGTTGAAGACTCGGATTTAACTGAGGAGGAAACGTGGGAAGAAACACAAGCCGCGGGCTGACAAAGCTGAGTTGTGTTCGAGTTTTCAGCAACAAAGGAAGTTGCAGGAGCATTTGTGTGGAGCGCGTAAACAGGTTCAACGTTATTGTCGACAGGAGGGCCATTTGCACGACAGCCACGATCATTTCCGCGGCATTGTCTGCCTGGCTGAGGAGTGAGTGGGGCTTTGAAGTTGGATTTGGTCTGCTGTAGTGGGTTGGAGCCCGACCTAAAGTGGGCCGGGAGGGTTAAAGTCTCATCCGCCCACTGCAGTAAATGAGGACGACTTGAGTTACTTAAAGACTTTAATTGGTTTTCCAGCTCGGTTATTGATGGAGGGGTTGGCTGGTGCATTTGGGGCGCTGTAATGGAAGTGATGGGGTCGCTTTTGTCTTCGTGGCAACTTTTCTCTCCGGGGTCACTAGCCGAGGGCTGCTTAGACCAAATCGGAAATTTAGGAGATCCTCTATGGCAAGTGGGGCTGCCTGGCACTTGTGTAATTTGACTCTCTTTTCTACTGGCAATTTCTGCTTTGCGAAGGTATGGGCTCGAATTGCAGTATAGCTGCGTGTTCAGAAATTCAGCACGATCAGCTTGTAGTCTAGCACTGGACGAACCTCCGAACTCATGGACGTTCTCACTAGCATAGTGGTTCTGGCATTGCTGGTGTTGTTGATGTGAGGGAAGCGTGGGGAATTCCATGAAGGGGTTCAACGTGCATATATCAGGGGTTTGTCGCAAGAGAGGGGTTAGTTCCTCGTTGAGGTTCCGCGAAAGCAACAAGTGAAGTTCGTCGCCGGCTGAGGCGATCATGGGCACCGTGAGACAGCAGTCAAAATCATGGCTTAGTGTGCCGTTAACCTGGGAAATAAAAAAATGATGTTTATCATCATTAGATTATTAATTTATTGAAATTACCTAGTAACTAAGCGAAACTTGAATTACATTCAAAACCTGATGAATTTTCAGCAAATTACGCAAATTAGTTCGGATAAATGAACAATGTGAAGCGAACTCCGTAAGTAAATTCCTGGTAGATGTTTTTTTTGAACAATTGCATGTTGAATTGTGTTCAATTTAGTGATCATGTAAATCTAGATTAACTTAAATGAACTGCTATAGGTGATTATATGGTAACTTTATAACTTTAAGGTTATTTTACTATAGAAACTTCAGCGTGTAGCTCAATGCAAGATTGACGATATCATACAGATGATATAGCCTGCAGCCAAAAATGTCATCAAGATGAAGGATTGGGTGAAATTTGTCATGCAAATCAGAAATATGCAATCTCACCACGGCACGTTAATAAGTTGAACGCATCTCGTGTAAATGGAAAATAAATTAAATACAAGCCCGGCAATCGCCATAGAGGCGGGGTTAACTTCGTTAAAATGCGTACAGCTTCTGCGACTTTGCTCAAAGGTTGAGAAAAATTAAAATTGGAGGATTCTTTAAAGTAGAATCCCTACGTCCACAGGCATTCTTCTTAATCCATACCGGCAGGATTGTATCGTGGGGCTACCTTCCTACATGGCTGATTTTGTCGTAAGGATACGTTTTCGCCTGCAGAATTCTTTTTTAGGGCTCGGTTCAAACCCACAAGATTTTGTTGTGGGGATCAGTTCCTTCATGCCGGATTCTATTGTAAGGTTCTTACGTGCAGGATTCTAACATAGGGCACAGTTCCTACCAGTAGGATTCTATCGCAGTTGCAGGATTCTGTCGTAGGGCTTAGTTCCTACCAGCAGGATTCTGTCGTAAGGCTTAGTTCCTACCTGTAGGATTCTGTCGTAGGGCTTACTTCCTACCTACAGGATTCTGTCGTAGGGCTTACTTCCTACCTACAGGATTCTGTCGTAGGGCTTACTTCCTGCCTGTAGAATTCTGTCGTAGGGCTTAGTTCCTACCTGCAGGATTCTGTGGTAGGGCTTACTTCCTACCTGTAGGATTCTGTTGTAGAACTCAGGTCCTACCCTGATTGTGTCGCAAGGACCCGTTCTCACCTGTAGGATTCTGTCGTAGGGCTTGACGCAGCCCGAGCGGTCGGCGGGGCCGCCCTTGCGTATCCTGTTGACGTAGACGCCCTTCTCGTAGAGGCCGTCGGAGACGCTGAAGCCGAAGTCCTCATACACGAGGTCCTTCTTGAGGCACACCTGTAGCACCTGCTGCGTCGCCTCCGCCGGTCCGTCTTGGAGGGATATGCAGGTCAAGAGGTTAGTTTTTTAATGGATTTATTGGATTAATTAAAAATTAAATACATTACTTTAATTAATCAAAATAATAATATATAAATATCAATACCTAATTAAGTTAATTATTATTACATATCATTTTTTTAATTATCTTAATTAATTAAGAATACTTAATAAATTGAAATAATTATTAAATTAATTATTTTTTAATGGATTTTTTAATGCATTTTCAAAATACTCGAACATGATAGGTACTGTATGCTTCAAGTGAATATGTATATATGTTTACGTACAATATATTTGAAAGTCATTGCTTTAAATTACGCTATTTTTGTGCATATGAGCGTGTTTTCTTCTTATATATTTGAAAGTCATTCGTTTCTTTCACGTCATCTTTGTGCAAATGAGCTGCAACTCCACTTATGTCAGCTCTGAAATTTTCCATATCAGTATTATATTATTACATGGGATAATATAGAACTTAAGATGTAAGTTTGTAATCACAAGGGTTGCTTATCATTCTTAAAATAGGTATATTTCATCACCCGTTACAATCTGACGTGTAACTAACAGCAGCCGCGACCATCAGAGCATCAAGCAACAAGTAACTAACAGCAGTCGCGACCATCAGAGCATCAAGCAACAAGTAACTAACAGCAGCCGCGACCATCAGAGCATCAAGCAACGAGTAACTAACAGCAGTCGCGACCATCAGAGCATCAAGCAACGAGTAACTAACAGCAGTCGCGACCATCAGAGCATCAAGCAACGAGTAACTAACAGCAGTCGCGACCATCAGAGCATCAAGCAACGAGTAACTAACAGCAGTCGCGACCATCAGAGCATCAAGCAACGAGTAACTAACAGCAGTCGCGACCATCAGAGCATCAAGCAACGAGTAACTAACAGCAGTCGCGATCAATAGAGCATGAAATAAAAGTTTCCTACAATCGCCATGTCTTAAAAGAAATGTGGGCGCAATAAATACTGGAGTTTGTGAGGAAGTTTAGAAGTTTGGCGACTCATTGGTAGAGGGCAGTCAAGCGGATCCTGCCTCGCCTCTTCCGCTCTCAAAGGCAACGCGTTTCAAAGCAGTTTTCGGTGAAAAAAAACTGAAGCGGAATTTAATCCAGTTGGCGAGGCTCCGGACGAAAACGCAAGGATAAAGCACAGTTTGAAAGCCTTGGCATTACGTGAGAATAAATATAAAATCGACTGAACGTTTTTGAAGTGAAATTTAAAATCTTTTGCTTGGCTTTTTGACAAAAAATATGATGATGAGGAGCCGCTTGAAAGCCGCGCCAAAACGAGGCGGGGTGAAAATTCTTAGTTTTCATAATAAAAAAATTATTAGTTGGATTTTCCGTGATCGAGTAGCTGTGCGCGTTAATCGTTTATAATATAAATATCATGGATAATTGATAACTAAATTACTTATATCCTATAATAAATATGAGTATTATTATGTATTTAAAAGCAATCACTTTCCTGTAAACCATTAGTAATAACTTTAACAGAGATATTCGACACACAACATCCCGCTTTGTACAGGGGATGGATCACCCAACATGATGCATCAGAGCTCAAAAATGCATGAATCAAAATTGTATAAATAAAATAACTCAACATGAAAATGTGGTTCTCATACCGGGGAAGGTTAGATCAGTTTCATCCGATGAGGCTGCGAATCAATTCTAGCAGCAAGTTGTTAAGTTAAGGCTTATAAATTTAAATATTCGATTATTACGATTATATTATTACTATTTATGCCTTCTATAATTATAATTAATGTCTAACGAGGGTTGGAATCTCTGTAGTAATTATATCTTATAAATAAACTGACCTCGTTGTTGTTGTTGTTGTTGTGGTAGATAAGCCCCCTGCAGTTGCTGCTCTTCTTGTAGAGTGTTGCGTAGCTGTTTTTTGTTTGGATCCGATAGTGGTTGTTGCTTTGGGTACTGATATGGTTGTTGATTGGGATGTTGGTTCGAGTGTTGGAGTGGATGTTGGAGTTGTTGAGTTTGTTGGTTTGTGGTTTGGTGTGGGGGTTTGTGTGGGTGTGGCATCTGGTGTTGGTGTTTGGCAGATTGTCGAGCGACCACCCCACAAGTGGCACTGATCTCGTTCAACGCAGCTATCATTTCGTCCCAGTCCGGAGTGCTGCTGCTGCCCGCTGCAAGCCCTCATTTCAACAAACAGTTAGAAATTCTAACTTATTACTTAAACTACATGCCTTAGCAATTATATCATTTTTCCAAGAACTTTGCTACTTGCTTCACAAAAATTGAGGGGTTACTCCTACACAAAACTCTACGGTCTTTGGTACGAATATTTAACTAACTTCATTTTCACTATGGTACATTCAAATAAAATTTTTGGTACCTGTAGATATTATATTGAATCTCACTTGAATAAAAAAAATTTTAGGAACACATCGCATACGAATATAAATACCGTAAAATAATATCAGTAATAAACCAAAGTCCAAAACAGCTGTAAAATCAAAATTTAAGCAATTTTGATGTATTAAGAACCTTAGTAAAGCACCTGTAACTCCGGAAGCACTCGATGTGGTGGCTGATCCAGGCGAGGATGCAGCTTTGTTCATGCTCGTGTTTTTATGATCTATTCTTCGTTTAACCGAAGGGCTAGGCAATAGCCCGCTTGTCAATTTATTTAATTCTTCGTATATATTACGGTCTGTTATCCCGGGTGTTTCGCATCCTGTAGCGCACGTATGATTACGTAAGTCACCGCGTTCAATTTTTTCACATGTTGGAATAACCTTGACGCTATTTTGGCTACTTAAACTGGTACATTTTTTTACATTAGACGTCACAGTTTTCTGGTCAACTAAAATCCCAGTTTGGTGATCAACCGATCGCCCAGTTTGGTGGTCAACCGATCGCATAGTTTGAGGGTCAACCGAAGTCATAGTTTGCTGGTCATCGGACTCCACGTCCCGGTTTTCATCATGAAATTCACCGTCACTTCGGAACGCCGGACGCCGCGATAACCGAACTTCTCCGTCACTATTCCGTCCAAGTTTAGAACCGCCGGTCACTTGGTCGGACGTCGGCGGTGTCGCGGGAGCGGAAACCGGAACTTCTGATCCGTCGTGCTCGTCGGTTGAAGACTCAGGCCCCGGGCGCACAACTTGAGACGGACTTCGCTTGTCCATCTCGCCCACACTTCTGGGACTTGATAAAGTCCTAGGACTTCCCTCTGTGATATTAAGACAATGGCAAATAGGTATTGGAAAAATTATTTGAATTGGTATAGGAAAATTTCAATAGGTATTGAAAATGAAATATTTCATAACGAACTTATATTACGAGATTTTATTATTAACAGAAAGAGTATGCTAAACATTATTTAAATAAATATTATCATCAAGAAAGAAGATGACAATATCCGAGTTTTACAAGAAATTGTGCGGGAAGTTTAAATATAAAATAATGGGTGCAGTGCGATGCTTATTGTTCTCGTGTACGCATTTATTCGCGTTTCAGAGGGTAGTTTCTCAATCGTTCGCATTCGGTAACAGAATTACCACCGTCACAAACGCTAAACTTCATCTCGTTTTTTTGTACTGTCTTTAGCGCATTTTTTCATTTATGGAAAAAAGCGCAATTGTGCTCGTCATGTCCGTCCGTCCGTGATTTCACGTTTTTGTCGACGAGAAAATGCGCTCCCTGTCACTCACTGCGGTGAATATTGAGTAATATTTTTCATCCTTATGAGAAAACCTCCATATGAGGGTGAAAAGTTCTTCAATCAAAATCTATGTAGTTATTAAGTCATTGACTAATTATAGATATTATATATACACATGTCTCCTTTGTAGAAGCCATAAGCATTCTACAATAACATCTCAAGAAAACATGTTGTGACTTGATAAACATGTCACAATTATATTGTAACATGACCAGCCAGCGCGTTTCTCTTTCATTTTCTTGCAGGCAAGCAATGATTGTCTGCAAGTGCAAAGTACACCCGAGTAATTAAACTCTTGGTACAGAAGCCCAGCAAATCTCGTAATCAACTCCTCGAAAATATGTAAGTGCGTCTCATTTATTAATAAGAGGTATTCATATGACCAAAACCTTTGTTTAGGTGAGTAGCATAAACTTAATAAAAATCAAAGTGTAGAAGGCGCTTTCTTCACGTATGTATCAAAATCTGAGTGTAAAAGACGATTTCTTTACGTACGTATCATAAACTTGATCAAAATCTGAGTGTAGAAGACGATTTCTTTACGTACGTATCATTAATTTAATCAAAATCTGAGTGTAGATGACGATTTCTTTACGCAAGTATCATTAACTTAAACAAAATCTGAGTGTAGATAATAATTTTTTATGTACGCATTATTAACTTAATCAAAGTGAGTGTAGAAGACGCTTTCTTTACGTGTGTGTCATTAACTAAACCAAAATCTGAGTGTATAAGATGCTTTCCTTACGTACGTATCATTAACCTAATCAAATCTGAGGGTAGAAGATGCATTCTTTGGCTACGTATCATTAATTTAACCAAAATCTGAGTGTAGATAACAATTTCTTTACGTGTGTCTCATTAACTTAATCAAAATCTGATTTTAGATAACGATTTTTTTACATATAGTCGATTTCACAGCAGACGGAAGCTAAAGTCTAAGTTTGAAGTCTAAGGCAAAAACTGGCTCGAGTTCAGACAAAAGAAGACGTCAATAAAAACGCAGGTCGTTAGTTGCGTCTTTACGCGGCTGTCTTGAGCCTGCAGAGAGGCAACTGTATATACTATATATATACTATATACTATAAATACTATATACTATATATACTATATACTATATATAAGAAGCGTAGACAGGCTGTCTTGAGCGTGCACTCTACGCTTCTTACCTCGTTCTCGACACGCGCAATTTTGAAGCAAAAATTTTTGTTGAGTAATGGCTAAATATCGATATTTTTTCGCATGATTCCGGATAAAAAGTGTAATTTTACAGAGGATTATACTTTTTCCGGCGAAATCAAGACTCCAATTTGAAGAAACGCTGGAGAAATCTCAACTACACATTGAGAACTGCAATGTGTAATTAATCTTTCCTGCAGTGATTAGGTATTAATATAACAATTAATCCGTCATACTGCAATGCCCTTGCTTTCTAAAATTTTGAAAAAAAACATCTTGCAGAACAATTAATAAATTGTGAAACGAAATTCTAAATTATTGCATATGTTTTTCATATTTATTTATCACTATTGTATCATATTAACATATTAGTAAGTTTGAATACTTTTATAAATTAGAAACAACATCATTAAAAACAGCATTATCAACATAATTGTCAATTGCACAACTTCTATAATTACGAGAACGTAAAGAATAAATTTTAAAAAATATTCACATTTTTAAACTATAATCATGAAAAGAAAAATTAAAGTCAAGAATAAAAGTAAATTTTTATCGAGTTTACCCGGCGTATGCTTGGTGGGCGGGGAGGGTGAGACTGCAGGGGTTGAGGGGGGGTGTTCCAACCCCCCGCTGCTACCACACCAGGACGCAACCGCGCTGTCAACCGACGGGGGATTGGCAGTCCAATCATCTGGTTGATAAACAATGGGTTGATTGGCTGTCCAATCATCTGGTTGATAAACAATGGGTTGATTGGCTGTCCAATCATCTGGTTGATAAACTATGGGTTGATTGGCGGTCCAATCATCTGGTTGATAAACAATGGGTTGAAACCATCAACCATCGAGACTATCAGCCAGAGCTTGAAATGTGAAGCAATTTACATTGACTAAAATAAATGAGGAAATAGTTGATGAAAAAATGAATTTTATATTTAGGCCTTACGCGAACTATTTAAAAAAATATTCAATTTTCCACGTCGATAAACGTAGATTTATAAAATATTCTTTATATTTTTATATTTAGTATAAAAATAACTGGTTCCTTTTAATATCAGATTCCTCAATGGCGCTGCAGTGACCTCGTTCCTTAAGAACTTCTCAGTTCATTTCTTTAATATTTGTCAATATAAGAATAAACGAAAATAATAAACAAATATTCATACAGAAATTTGTAAATTTAAATATTTTGCAAATTTATTATTAAAAAGTTAAATAATGTAAGTGAATTTAAACAAAATACATTTTTTTACCGGCAGGCAATATCGGCGTGTTATGGGCGTGTTTTGGTCGCGCGATGCGCAGAGTGACCACATCAGCGGCGGCCATGAGCAGCTGCACTGCGCGGCTCAGCGGCTGGCCGCTCAAGCTGTGGCCATCGATGGCCAGAAGGCGGTCACCTACATGGATGGCTCCTGTCCGCTCAGCCAGTCCACCTGGCATACAGAGGACAACTGTTCAACACTTACAGGTTTCAACAACTACTAGTGGTTGAAAGAGGGCTGTTCAACAACTACTAGTGGTTGAAAGAGGGCTGTTCAACAACTACGGGTTGTTGGAGAACTGTTCAACACCTACAGGTTGTTGGAGAACTGTTCAACACCTACAGGTTATTGGAGAACTGTTCAACAACTACAGGTTGTTGGAGGACTGTTCAACACCTACAGGTTGTTGGAGGACTGTTCAACACCTACAGGTTGTTGGAGGACTGTTCAACACCTACAGGTTGTTGGAGGACTGTTCAACATCTACTAGTGGTTGAAAGAGGGCTGTTCAACAACTACAAGTTGAAAGAGCTGTTCGAGAAGATGTCCAAAAACATGCTCAAAACTACTATGTAATCGAACAGCTGCTGAAAAAATCTTTTTAAAAACGCAGTCGTCCGGAAACTTGTTGAATCTAATTTTCAATATATAAAGTTCCTTTTCTATCATTCACTATTCCGTGATTGCTAAGCAGAATTTGTCACTTGTAGCTCTAACTAAAATATCTTCCTTGTTAATTGATAGGTTCGATGAATATCAACATTCGTGAAACGAAATAAATTGAGCTGAAAATGTACATTTCGAGTCAGAATTTTGCAACCATGGACACAAATTTAAATTTTAAATATATGGTACACTTCTATTTAACACCTAATTAAAACCTGCACTCAGTATTTACGAATAAATAATACACGACTATTTAACACCTAATTATAAACTGCACCCATAATTTGTGAATAATTAATACACTTCTAATTAACATATAATTACAATCTATACATATTACATGTAAATAAATATTAGTCTTCAATTAACATCAAATTATAACCTGTACCCATTATATGTAAGTAAATAATAGTCTTTTAATAAACATCAAATAATTTATTCACCGGGCACCAAAGACGCGACGTAGAGCGGGCCCGTGGGCGCCTCGCTGCCCGTGAGTGTGACTCCCAGAGCACCGCCTTCCCGTGACACCTGTACCGTGTACTGCACGGTATCTCCTGCACGGTACACGTGTTATAGTTATACACCTAAGTACACGTAGCGGCCTAAGTACACGTAGCGGCCTAAGTACACGTAGCGGCATAAGTACAAGTAGCGGCCTAAGTACATGTAGCAGCCTAAGTACACGTAGCGGCCGAAGTACATGTAGCAGCCTAAGCACACGTAGCGGCCTAAGTACACGTAGCGGCCGAAGTACACGTAGCGGCGTAAGTACACGTAGCAGCCAATTTCTTGTCAGTTATTTTTGGGCTGAGCTTCAGAAAAGGTCAATCATTGGCTAAAAACGTTACGAACTTGCAACGTTTTAAAAAGCCTTAGGTTCACTAACTGTAGCCGCTACACGTGTGTCTTTCTCGCTTAGGTATACTAGTTAAGTATTCAAGTTAAACTTAAGCAAGTCGGGCGGGAAGAGGTGTACAAAACAAGAAGGTAATTTGACTCGTTGTTCATCTTAATTGTACAGTGAGAATTTCACCAGCACATACAATGGAACTTCTTTTCTAGGAAACTCTTGCATTTCAATGAGTTTGCCCCGTTGGTTGCCCCTACAGTGCTTAGTGCAGTAGCAGGCATATCCCAGTTTATAGTGAATTTGAGCTTCAGTTATGTACATAAGAAGTTCCCATTTAAAAATGATGATATTCTTAACTATTTCATCAAATAAATCAATTTAGTGATTGCTGCTGCTTCCTCACGTATAGCAAGCATGCAGACATTCCTTCATCAATAAAAAAACTTAAACATCACACAAACAGGAGGTAATGATGCCATCGCCCGCCACTCACCATCATCACTCGTCAGCCTCATCACAATCACCCTGCCACACCCCCACCACTCACCATCATCACTCGGAGGCCTAGGAAGTAATCCAGCCATCGCCCGCCACTCACCATCATCACTCGTGAACCTCATCGCAACCACCCCATCACTCACCATCATAATTCGTGAGCCTCATCACCACCACCCCACCACTCACCATCATCACTCGTGAGCCTCATCACCACCACACCACCACTTACCATCATCACTCGGAGGCCTCATCACCACCGCCACCACCGCCGCATCACCGCCGCATTTCTCGCCGATCTTGCGGTTGACCTGCGGCGCCGTGGTGTCGCCGGCCACACGCAGATCACCGACGGAGATCAGCAGGTCACCGTAGCGGATCACCCCGCTGCGGTGGGCCGCCGACCCACTCACCACCGATGTGATCACCAACCCATGGGTGTCTGAGTCACCCACGCACACAGGTGAGTCTGCACTCATAAAAAACAAGAGAGATTTGTCCAAATTGCGAGACAATTTTTCTTGGGTCAAGGAGCGTATCACTGCTACGCGCATAAAGTGTGTCACTATGAACCATTCAGTTTTCTGAGTCTGAGGCACGAGCATCACACAAATGAGGGGAATTTTAATAATTTGTAATTTTGCTAAGTATTAATTTTAACTTCGTTTGAAAATTCGTTTCATTTTCGTTCACATTTTTGTACTTCCAACTTGTTCTATCCGTTCCATTAAGTGTTAATTTCTCGCATTACTTATGAATTATTTTATTAACTCGATTAACAATCCATCCCACCCATTATTTATTCGCTTCTCATGCGATCTTCACGGCAATAATGGGTCAATGCAGTAATGGGTCAATGCAGTAAAGGGCAAATACAATAATGGGTCAATGCAGTAATGGGTCAATGCAGTAAAGGGCAAATACAATCATTGGTCAATGCAGTAAAGGGTCAATGCAGTAATGGGCCAATACAATAATGGGTCAATGCAATAATGGGTCAATGCAGTAATGGGCAAATACAATAATTGGTCAATGCAGTAAAGGGTCAATGCAGTAATGGGCCAATACAATAATGGGTCAATGCAATAATGGGCCAATACAATAATGGGTCAATGCAATAATGGTGAATTCTCTGAGGAAATTACAAGGAATTTTTAGCTTATATTCCTGGCAGACTTATAATGTTCAAATACACCTGAGGACGAATAATTTAATGGATAAATAAATATGTATTTAGAAATTATTAAAATGCAGTAAATGTAATTATACATTATAGTTTTTGAGAGACTTGCAATATTATGATCCGAAATCTATAGCAAAAATAGGAATGTATTCACTCCTAAATTTGAATGCTAATTAGGTGACAGTCAAAGAAAACTTTAATGAATTTATAATTTAAGCGACTAATTATTCATCATGAACATAATTGAATTGATACTTTTATAATAATATTAATAGTACCATATATATATATAATATATAATTTAATATATTATTCTTAAAATATATATTAATAATATATAATATTTTAATTAATATATAATATTTTTAATTGGGAATCGAATTTATAACTGCACCTGAAAAATTAAATCCGATGCCGTGCTGAGTAACGGGCAGGCTGACCGTTACCATGTCGCCCTCATAACGGGCGCTGCGGTCCTCATTGAAGCGGACCGTTATAGTGACGGTCTGGGGGCTGACAGCCAGCATGTGGGTGACGTCAGACACACCCGACGTACACACGCCGTTAACTGACGTCAGGATGTCACCCACGCGTAGCAATCCACACCTACATGGATGACATGTTTATACGGGCTAAACTGAGTCAAGATGACCCACGCCTACATGGATGACATGTTTATACGGGCTAAACTGAGTCAAGATGACCCACGCCTACATGGATGACATGTTTATACGGGCTAAACTGAGTCAAGATGACCCACATAATACATGGATGACATGTTTATACGGGCTAAACTGAGTCAAGATGACACACATAATACATGGATGACATGTTCATACAGTGCCGGGGCCATACTTTCAAAACTCGTTAAGTGAACGTAAGTTCTTACGCTCTATTTTCTTGTCTCTGATTGGTGGATTTTGCTTGAAAGGCCGTCAATGATTGGCTGATGAACTTGCGATCTCTTAACTTTTTTTGAAAGTATAGGCCCAGGGCTAAACTGGGTCAAAATGACACACATAAGAGTAAAAAATTATACGCTTTTCGGACATAGTTTCAATGTTTTCTCTACGTGTGACGGTACCTACATCCAAGCGCTGACGATAGCGGGACGACGATTTTTAACAAAGGCAAATGTAACCATTTTTAATGGGGTGTTTTGACCCATGTGTATAAACTATATATAAAATAAATAAATGCAGTGAATGGAAATGATATGTTTGAATGTGCACATGTTTCTCACTTCAGTCGGTCAAATTTGACCCATCGAAGAAAAGTCAAAATCTAACAAAACAATCGAGATTCAAATTAACTCACTCATCACTCTGAGTGTTCAACCCATTGATACATGCCTGAATGAAAAAAAAAAACAATAATAAATAAGGTGCATGAAAAAAAATTTCTGCCACGAACTCAACCCCAAAATTCTTCCCCCATAACACCCATCAATAATCCCTCACCATCCCCCATCTCACCGGCCAGCGGGGGAATCCTCCAGGATAGCTGTGATGACGGGATGGGTGATGTCATCACCCTTTGATGGGGGGCGCAGCACCAGCCCGTAGCCCCCCTCGGGGTCTGATGACGTCAGCGTCAAGGTGAACCCGTTGCTGTTGTTATTGCAGTTGCTGTTGTTGTTCGTGCTGTTGTTGGTGTTGTTGTTTGTCAGGCTGCTGCACTCGCACGCACCTGTGCGAGTGCACATAAATTTCAGAAAAAATATATTAAATTAATTAATTCAATTAATTAATTAATTAATTAATTCAGAAAAAATATATTGCAGTAGATGTGAGAGCAATCGTTCAAAGTATATGAAATTAGTTCAGAAAAAATGTATAGGATTTGTAGTCATATCATTGATGATGAAATTAGTTCAGAAAAAATATATTACAGTACATGTGAGAGCAATCGTTCAAAGAATGTAAAATTAGTTGAGAAAAAGTGTATACATAGGATTTGTAGTCATATCATTGATGACGTGAAGTACAAGCTGAAATTACAATTCAATTTTCTAACACGTTTTTACGAGTAGTGGAGAACATACAAGTAACTTTGTACAGTCGATCGTGCTATATTCGCACCAAAACCACCAATAATAATTGTTTCACCCCACCATCACCTCCACCATCACCACCACATCCTCCACCAACCCCACTGCCTCCACCACAACCCTCATCACCCTCACCTCCTTTACCTAAATCCTGCGGGGCCCCGACTGCCAGTTGCCGGTGAGCACCGGCGTCGGAAGGATGTGCGTCGCTGCGGCTCTTGAGGGATGAACGAGTCTCAGGCTGATCAGACTCGTTATTAGTAACAAGATTTGTCGGGAACTGGTAACCGGCGACGTTACAAGGGAAATGGGTGCAGATAGAGGCGTTAGAAGGAGAAAAGTTACAGTTTGAAGCGTTGTAGGGTAGAAAGTTACATTTGATGGCGTTAGGATCGTGAGGGTACGAAGTCGCATCTAGGGAACAGGTCGGATTTACACAATTTGCGTTGAAAGTGTTAGCGAAATTAGATGAAAAAGGGATAGTTGGACTTTGGGCATAATTTGAGTGCAAAGTAAGGGCATCGGAATATAAATTATTAGAGTTGAGGTAATTATTAGATAAGCTAGGGAAATTATTAGACGAGTTAGGGTAATTATTGTTCGAAACAGGGTAACTACTAGAAGATTTAGGGTAATTATCTCCCGAGTTAGGGTAATTATTAGACATATTAGAATAATTATTCGTTGTGTTACAGTAAAAACCAGACGAGTTAGGGTAAGAAGTTTGGGTTTTACAGCAGGTTTCACTGATAGGAAGATGAGCTGAATGACATGGAGTTGGAGGGCTGGAGTTTGGAGGAGTGACGGCTGGAGGGAAGGGGATGGAGGGTGGAGTGCTCCTGGCGCTGACCGTCCCCATGATGTGGGGATGAGGCACCGGACCTGCAAGGCCATCATCGATAAAAAAATATTTATTGCATTTCAACAAATTTAAATATTAATGAATATTAACAATAATTTGAACTTTAATTTTGTATAACTATTTATCGAATGGGCACAAACGCAAATTTAGTCAACACGAAAAACCGCCTGCTACGAAGAGATTGATGCGAACGAAATTATTCTGAATACTGGAATGAAGATGGCATCTGCAGGTGGCAGTGCAGGTGCCACTTGCAGGTGGCACTGCAGGTGGCACTTGCAGGTGGCACTTACAGGTGGCACTGCAGGTGCCACTTGAAGGTGGCACTGCAAGTGGCAATGCAGGTGGCATTTGCAGGTGGCATCTGCAGGTGGCACTGCAGGTGGCACTGCAGGAGGCACTTGCAGGTGGCACTGCTGCAGGTGGCACTGCTGGTGGCATTTGCAGGTGGCATTTTCAGGTGGCACTGCTGCTGGTGGCACTGCTGCAGGTGGCACTGCGTGTGGCATTTGCAGGTGGCACTTGCAGGTGGCACTGCTGCAGGTGGCACTGCTGCAGGTGGCACTGCAGGTGGCACTTGCAGGTGGCACTGCTGCTGGTGGCACTGCTGCAGGTGGCACTGCAGGTGGCACTGCAGGTGGCACCTGACCTGTAGCAGGTGGCACCTGACCTGTAGCAGGTGGCACCTGACCTGTAGCAGGTGGCACCTGACCTGTAGCAGGTGGCACCTGACCTGTAGCAGGTGGTGCAGGCATGATCTCCAGGGTCACCACCGGGAGCCGGGATGACCGTAGCAGCTGGTTGGCCTCAGCTGGCGTCAGCTGGTCCAGCGGAGTGCCGTCTATGCGGGTGATGGTGTCACCAACTGCCAGCGCACCACACCTGTAACAACCAAGATAAACATCATCATCACCATCACAAGTAGTAATGACGTTCATCATCACCACCACAAGCAGTAATCACGTTCAACAATCCATATTAAAATCAAAGTTTTGTTAAGATTCTAAACAAATTCCAATTTAAAAATTAATTTTTAAGAAATGTTTAAAAAGTGCTACGTTTGGGGTATAAAATAAAGAGACGTGCGTGGGCAGACCGTTCAGCGATGCTGGCGGTGGTGACAGTGCCGACGACGATGGTGTTGTGGGGCCCCGCGTGCAGCGTGAGGCCCAAGTCTGCGGCGGAGGGCCGCTCGACCTCGACCAGCAGCGGCACACCCCTGCCCCGCACCCCAGACAGCACTGAGACGTCGTACCTAGGCATGCCGCTTATATAGGAGGGCAACAGGGTGTATCACTGTTTGACACTGCAACCGGAATTTGACGCTGATTTTAATTAAAAAAAATGGTGACACCGTTTTATTTCACGGGACGGCCGGCCACTAAAACGCCGGTCAAACCGTTTTTTACCGTTTTTCTGAGCAATGTAGGAGCACAATCCGTGTCGGCAATAAGGGTGTTAGTTAGTGGGAAAGTGCAAATATGTAATGTTCCATTCAATGGCTAGTGATTCTATTGGGCCCAGTCAAATGTTACAGATAGGCATTCTTGCAATCACTCACATCCTAATAATCGATATCAGCACACTAGTGTTGTCCGGAAATAACGATGTCACGGCGTGACGCACTTCTACGTCTATGTTAGCAGTGTTAATGAGGATTGGAGTGCCACAGTTCTTAGATTCAGAAGCGATGAAGCAGTTGTTTGTTGCTGTCGTGCGCCCGAATCTAGAGTTTGGAAACGTTGTGTGGTAACCGAGATTTGAAAAGGACAAAAATTTAACAGAGAATGTTCAAAGACGTGCAACAAGGATAATTCCAGGCTTGAACGGCAAGTCCTATGAAGAGAGATTTAAGATTATGAAGCTTCCAAGAATCAGTTATCGACGTCTGCGTGGGAACCTCATTGATGTATACAAATATACTTACGGTTTATACAAGGTCCCCGAAGGATTACTAGAATTTGATACAAGAACCAACACCAGGAGACACGGCTAGAAACGAAAAAAAACTGCGCTGCAACTTCTCCACGCGACAAAATTTCTTCTCGCTTCGAATCACCGACATGTGGAACAGCCTCCCCGTTGACATCGTTGGCGCTCCGAGTATGAACGCGTTCAAGAACAGACTAGATAAAGCTATGGATCAATATATGTTTAGACTTGAAATGCCTAGCACCATATCGAACCCGGTAGAAGTCTAGTAGCTATTTCAAACTATCGTCTGTCTTGAAAAGATCCGGTCTGGTCAAATGACACGATTTTAAATCTTAAGTGAACAAGTCACGAAAAGTTCAAGAATCGGCGACAGGCCACATCAGGCCTACTCTTTAGCGCCATCACTATGTTATGTTATGTTATGTTATTACCCGTGGCACTCCACATTTCGTCCTAGCCTTTTTTTTTGAGCCTCTAACAACGACAGCTCGTAGATTCAGAAGTCGCGGATTCACGTCAAAAGCCAGACTCCAACACCCGATAGTCTTTGTTTTCTAAAGAGTACTCCATGTTCATCTTTATCAAAGGCTTTCTAAACTTCCAAATACTCGACATCCACGCCAGGTCCCTCTCCTCAGTTCGGTCAAAATATGGATGTGCTTTAGGAACTGGGTCAAGTTCCCAGTTCCTACGCGGTTTCCGACGATTTCGCCGGAAACCGCGATGTAATCTATTGGAATGAGTAAATTCATCATTCACTTACGGCACCAACCTCCTGGATGCGACCTTCTGTAAAACCTTGATTACATGTGATGTTAATGTCACCGGTCTGGTAGTTTGGGGTTTGTCTCTCGTGCCCGTTTTGCAAATTGTACTTTGTAGCTTCACCTTGAGGTAACTAGGAATTAGTGTCTGAATGATTATAGTTACGTTCTCTTGTCTTGGGTAACGAGGTTGACTCATGGTTGAAATAATACACGTATTAATTCAACCATGGGTTTACTGAACACTTCATCAAACTGTGCTCTTAGCAGTTCGCACATACCCTGGTCATCTAGAATAAGACCATTCTTTGACATATTTGTTTGACATTTGTGCCCACTGTTTGATGACAGTGGGGCCCAATGTAGTCCATTTTTAAACTCAGACTGGGCACATTTCTGGAAATATTTGAAGTTTCTCCGGATGGCTCCCATCGCTTGATCATCTGCTGCGCGCTCTCGGTACACGTGCTGGGCCAGCATCTGTATCGCAATTTTCCGTATTTTTTTCCCCCGGTGGCGGCTGCAATTTGCTTGCTCAAACGAATGATTCTTTTCCTCAAAAGGATTCGTCAATCCCTTGTTGTGAGCGTGTGTACACGGGGTATACACAGATCATACGCGTGTGCACACAGAGTATTCAAAGAACACACGAGCAGGGGACGAGGCACGGCAAAAAAGCTCATTAGCGTCAGTTGTGATGACATCAGGACGGAGGTGCGCCTGTGTGAAGGGGAAGCCCGTATGAAAAGCAGCCCGTGTAGAGAGCAGACCGTGTGAAGGGCCGCTCGTGCAGAGGATTGTCCGTTTGAAGGGCCACTCGTGCATAGGACCGCCCGTGTGAAAGACCGCCCGTGTGCAGGGCTCGCCGCGTGAAGGGCCGCTCGTATGTAGGCCTGCCCGTATGAAGGGCAGCCTTTTTGAAAGACCCCTTCGTGTAGGCCCGCTCGTGTAAAAAGCCGCTCGTATGATGGGATGCTCGTGTGTGGGACCACTCGTGTGAAGGGCCGCCCGTGTGTAGGACCGCCCGTGTGAAGGGTATCTCGTGTGAAGGCTCAGCGAGTTAGTGGGTTTTCGGTAATCGGAAGTCGTACGATCGTCGAAGCTTCTGTTTTTTTTCGGTTGCGCACGCCGTAGGGTTTGCGGAGGGTTTTTCTCGGAACGCACTGAACCGCTTCCTGCTCACAGCTGCGCAAACTGCGCTGAGGAATGCGCCAAATGCTGAGCAATAAAATGTTGCTCATGAGCCGCCAGTGAACAGCAAGAAAAATATCGCGGGAACAGCTTTGCTTGTCTCGAACAGAGCAGATTTCTTCACGAGACTCTCAGGGAAGTAATTTGCCCTTGCAGCAGTTACCATTACATATAAACGTACGGGAAGAAATGGTCATACTTCTGCTCTTGGCTATTGTTTGAATGGCAGGCTTAGTTAAATGTGTGATTATTTTATTAATAACGGAAATAAATGGTCACGAGGCCATCGGACATAAACTTTAATGAAACCTTCGAAGATGTTGCATTCCATGTCGCACAAAGAAAATATATTGATTTTTTCGGACAAATTTAATTCTACCTTCGAGATAAGAGAAGGATAACGGATCATCATAATTGGAACACTGCATGGCTCCTCTTGAATTATTCCTCTTGAACAATGAAAAGGTTGATATCTCCTATTAAGAGGTACAAAAAGTTCCATTAGAAAGGAGCGTGTGTTGGAGTTTTTGAAGAGGGATGGATAAAGTGGTTCTTGGAAAGAGATGGAAGATGTGTCCTAAGCAGTGTGATAAATACGGTGTTCTCTGCATAGGTGTGGATGAATATGTCTCAAGAGGCTAAGGAAATTATCCGAATGATTTGGGATGGTATCATTTAGAGGAGGAATAGAAACATTAAATTTCCTTAGGAATGGATGGAAAAAACTAATTCTCCTAGATTTACGATAGGAATGTCGTGAGAAGAGTGCAGGGTGAGGTGCCCCAGAAGGAGCTAGTAAATGTGAACACTGGATAGTAATAGCGGCCAGTACAACATTTAAATACTATAATGCTGCCACTGCTTACCGTGCTATTGGCCTCGTGTATTGGGGCTACTGACCATAGAAGGACCCAGTAACACTTAAACGGGGCCAATAGCACGGCAATTAGTGGCGATTAACATCTCAAAGTTTTACTGGCAGCCACTTCTGTCCCCATGGACAAGCACCTATAGATAAAAATAAAGACACTTGACTCAATTCTGACTCGCTCGATGCACACTTGACTCATTTATGCCTCGCTCTGTATACACTTGACTCATTTATGCCTCACTTAATGCACACTTGACTCATTTCTGACTCACTCGATGCACACTTGACTCGTTTATGCCTCACTCAATGCTAACTTGACTCATTTCTGACTCACTCAGTGTACACTTGACTCAGTTCTGGCTCACTCAGTGTACACTTGACTCAGTTCTGGCTCACTCAGTGTACGTACACTTGACTCAGTTCTGACTCACTCGGTGAACACTTGACTCATTTCTGACTCACTAAATGTACATTTGACTCAGTTCTGGCTCACTCAGTGTACACTTGACTCAGTTCTGACTCACTCAGGGTACACTTGACTCAGTTCTTACTCACTCAGTGTACACTTGACTCATTTCTGACTCACTCTATGCACACATTACTCAGTTGTGACTCACTCTATGGTGAGTGTGAGGTGGTCCGGGGCCTCTCTGATGGCCTGCAGGGCCTCGCTGAGTGTGATGTGCCCCACGCTGCGCCCCATCACCCCCACCAGCCTGTCCCCTGCCTTGATGGTGCCTTCCCTGCACCACACCAGCAGGTCATCACACAATAATGATATGAGTAGCATTAATGATGTCTTCTCTGCACCATACCAGCAGGTCATCACACAATAATGATATGAGTAGCATTAATGATGTCTTCCCTGCACCACACCGGCAGGTCACCACACAATAATGATATGAGTAGCATTAATGATGTCTTCTCTGCACCATACCGGCAGGTCACCACACAATAATGATATGAGTAGCATTAATGATGTCTTCTCTGCACCACACCAGCAGGTCACCACACAATAATGATATGAGTAGCATTAATGATGTCTTCTCTGCACCATACCGGCAGGTCACCACACAATAATGATATGAGTAGCATTAATGATGTCTTCTCTGCACCATACCAGCAGGTCACCACACAATGATGTGAGTAGCATTAATGATGTCTTCACTGCACCACACCAGTAGGTCACCACACAATACTAAGAGTATGAGTGCCATAAAGTCTGCGTTAATGATGCTGCTATTATTATTTATCTTAACTAATTTTTACTGTTGTCATCATAATCAGTCGGTAAGTCATTATAATCAATTGAAGTTAACTATTGACCTTATTGCCTAGTTTGTCAACATAAAACATATTCTTATCAATAACTTGACTAATAATTCAATTTGCCACTGCCACGTCCACAAAAGTCCACTCTGACCTGTCGACAGGCCCGGCCGTGCGGACGTGGGTGATGAGCAGAGGAGTGGACTTGTCAGGGTGAGAGGACTGCAGTCCCCCCCTCACGGTCATGCCCACCCCGCCCCCCGCCTCCTTCTGGAGACTGACGACCGTCCGGCGCACCTGTACGCCCTCTGGTCCAAGTCCAGCTGTGGGCATTATTATAATATTATTTTACACATAACAGATTAAAATATTATGTTATATATTATAGACTAAATATTATATATATAATATATTTTAGATTAAGTATTATAAGTTATATTATATATTATATAACATTGTAATATTTGAGGGGCAAGATAACATTACCCCCTCTGATTATTACTTTACTTTAAGTATTAGTATTACTTTAAAGTATTAAGGTAGTATTACTTTAAATTACATATTTTATATAATATAGATTAAATATTATAGTATGTTATATTACATATTATAAATATAATACATCATAATATAGAATATATATCACTTATTATAAGATAACATTAGTATTATTTGGAGGGAGGGTTGGTTAATAACCCCCGATGGGGGAACAAATGGGTGGTTCAGGTAGGAATAGCATTGTAGGTAAGAGTGTTAATTTGCAACTCAAGTTTATTCAGCAGAAAACATTCACTGTACGGCGCACCAACATCGCTGAATTCAAGACTCATTCATTCACTGACTAATATAACATTTGTATATATCCAAAAACATTGTATGGAATAATCATTGAATAATTCGGATAAATATATATCTGAATTAAAACCAAATTTAGTAAAATGAGTAGACGTTAGCGCAAGTTAAGACAGACATTTTGCACAGTAAGATAACGTCGGACTGTCATGTTACACGTCACAATCAGCACAAAATAACGTCGGACTGCCATGTTACACGTCACAATCAGCACAAAATAACATCGGACTGCCATGTTACACGTCACAATCAGCACAAAATAACATTAGACTGCCATGTTACACATCACAATCAGCACAAAATAACGTCGGACTGCCATGTTACACGTCACAATCAGCAGCGTCTGACCAAATTCAATTAAAGAATTTCCAGCAGCGCTCGGGATTTCTAATGGCTACGGCGGCAAGTTTCCGATGGAAAACCTGCATCGCTGGAGTGGCTTTGATCGCGGTAAGCTGTACAGGTTCTGGCACCGACACGGTGTGATCGGGGCGTGGAATTTGAATATTTAAATTGAGGGCAAGTATTTTGTAAAATAAGGCAACTTTTTTTTAAATAGAGGGTATTTTCTGCGAATTGAGGGTATTTTTTTTGCAAATTGAGGGTATTTTTGCAAATTAATGGTAGTTTTTTGCAAATTGAGGGTATTTTTAGCGCATTTTCTCATTTATAGAAAAAAGGCGCTATTGTGCTCGTCATGTCCGTCCGTCCGTCAGTCAGTCTGTCTCTCTGTCCGTCCGTGACTACGCGTTTTCGTCGACGAGAAAATGCGCTCTCTGTCACTCGATGCAGTGAGCAACGCTAATGCATATTAAGGGATTTTTTAATATAGGGTATCTTCTTTCCAGTGAATTGATCGGAAACGTTTTTGTTTGCTGAGGGTACCTCTACATAAAATGAGGGTAGCTTTCGGTAAATTGAGGATAACTGTTAATATTCGAGGTTTGTGTCAGAGTTCAAGTCTTTGATGTATTATTTTAACGATGATCAAGTATATTATTAACAAACTGTAATAATCTATAACAGTTAGTTTAGACCAATTTATATAATATATTGGTTTTATAACCAATAATCTATGGTGGTTGCTGCAAACCCGATTTTGTTCACTGTACTGTCCTCAATGCCAAATATTACAAATAACTGTACTGAATATTACATCTAGAGGAACATTTATAATTCAGATCACTCCGGTTTGAGTAAATGGCAAATTGGTCAGACTTTAAGATAGAAAGCCTCCCGAATGTCTTGGAAGAAACGCGTACAAGAGATTGAATATCGGAACGCCATTCATAAGTTCAGACATTCACTAAATTTTCAAAACTGAGTTCAGGCAAAGAAGAAGCATTCACACATAGTATTGTGAATTACAGGGTTGAGAAATAAAAAATTTTTTTGATTTAAGTATACGTTATACCACATGGTTAGTTGACATTTTACATGAATTGTTGACATAATTGAAATACCGAATAAACTAAATTATTAAAACCTTATCTGCAACAATGAAATATTTTTCACTCGCAACACAATCCTAAGTTCATTGAGGGCAAAGAAAATGCAAGAATATATCTGAAGGAAACAAAATCCCTCTTTTCAGTCAAACGAAATTCTACAGTAACAAAATTTTTTTAGCACCATCAGGGGCAAGAGTTCGAGATTCGTTGCTATTGGAAGTCGTTCCAAAGAAACAAACAAAAATGGGCGCCTTCAGAATTCATCCAAGACGCGTCTAAATTCAACCTCGTAATAAGAAGGCTTATTTACACCAGCCCGCGAGAGAAGAAATCTCCCCAAGACGGCGATCCTATTCTCGAGATCAACAATGCATTTCGCGCGTAAAAGCTTTCGTTGTTTCAGAGGCAGGAATTCTGTTGCCGAAATGCAGTGCGATAAGACGAGTCTTTCAGGCACGCGAGCCCTGCCACCACTCGCTGTCGCTGCCATCACTCACACTAGATGCCACAACTCGCACCCGCTGCCACCACCAGCATCCGCTGCCACCACTCGCGCCTGCTGCCACCACTCGCACTAGCTGCCACCACTAACACTCGCTGCCACCACTCGCGCCCGCTGCCATCACTCACTCGCTGCCACCACTCGCGCCCGCTGCCAACTCGTACGCGCTGCCACCACACGCACCCGCTGCCACCACTCACCCTCGCTGCCACCACTCACACTCGCTGCCACCACTCACACTCGCTGCCATCACTCGCACTCGCTGTCATTACTCGCATCCGCTGCCACCACTCGCACCCGCTGCCACCACTCGCACTAGCTGCCACCACTCGCACCAGCTGCCACCACTCGCACGCGCTGCCACTACTCGCACGCGCTGCCACCACTCACACGCGCTGCCATCACTCACACTCGCTGCCACCGCTCGCGCCCGCTGCCACCACTCGCACGCGCTGCCATCACTCACACTCGCTGCCACCACTCGCACGCGCTGCCACCACTCGCACGCGCTGCCATCACTCGCACCCGCTGCCACCACTAGCATCCGCTGCCACCACTAGCACCCGCTGCCACCACTGGCACCCGCTGCCACCACTCGCACCCGCTGCCACCACTAGCATCCGCTGCCACCACTCGCCACCCGATGAAACACAGTGAAATATTTGAGGCGATTTAAAGTTGGCCAATAGATAGCTAACCGTTGCCACGCTCTTCTTCGTCAGTAATTTTCACTGATGGAAAGTGTTGGCGCTGAATATTTTGGACTCCACTAAACAAACTAACAGTTCCTTCTTTCGTTGGTAAATTAAATATAAAGCCAAGAACAGTGAAATATTGCGATTTTATAATTTGTTAAGAACGTCAAAATCTATTGGCAATATATTTATACTTATTTTATTTAATACGCATTCAAAACACGCGAAGTGCGTCTGCCTGTATGACTTCCGCAAACAAATATAATAGAAATAATACGGCTTTACTTAACATAAATTAAAACCAGCGAGGAATACCTACCATGTCTGGAAAGCAGTCGCGCTTTGGCCGCCTTCCTCCTGTACCAATCGCCTCTGCTGGAACCAAGACCAAAGAGCAAAGTTTTTGTCCCTTCATTTGGGGATCCCGGAATGCGGTCTGATTGAGATGGGGATCTGGACACCCGTCCGCTTATGCATGACGGGGACCGCGATATTCGATCCGAGGGGCAAGGGGATCCTACAGAAAAAGCACTTTGACTCAGGGTTGGTTGGTCGACGAAACGGTTTGTAGAACAGGTGTCGCTGAGGCTTGGGTTAGTCTTTGCGTAAATATCAGGATATTGTGTCAAAGCTTGCATGTGTTCCGGCAAATAATCTTGTTCGTTCACTTGGCTGGGAAAAGGATTTCTCTCTTCATGTCTGATGGGAGACCTTGCGGTGTCTTGAGCCGCGGCGCAATACTTGCCGTAGTGGGAGGAAGACATGGGAGGATCAAACAGATACTGGCGATTCCGTGTCACCGGATGTTGTGCCGACCAGGAGAGCGCCGTGCCTGGCAAGAGGGGAGTTCTCGGGGGCGTCATGACTGAAAATAAATCGCTTTCGAGAAATGAACTTGAAGTTGGAGGACATAGGTAACTTGGGATGCCTCTACTGCTCATTTGTTGAGGGGAGAGTGCCGAATGATCCTTAAATAGAGCGTATATATCGGAATCTTCTTCAGCGGTGTAACCAACTCCCCATAGAGTGTACCTCCTCGGTGGCGGACTTGGAGGAGCTTTGATAGGTCTAACCCCTCCACTTTGGTTACGTCCGCTGCCTTGACTCATGGACCGAGTGAGGCGTGGGGAATTCCAAGGGTTGTATTCCTCAACCTGTCTGTCTAAATCAACGTGCTGTGTCCACTCGGTATCCGGTTGATTCATTTCACCCCCACCGTGCTGCTCCGGATGGACATACGGGTTCTGCATCGTCACTTTCGCAGGTCCACCGACAGGATCGGATCGGCTTACGTAGAATACGGACTTCCGAAGCCTTTTAGTAGAGCCCTCGTGTTCACAGTCGCACTCGGGTGTCTTCTCCTTCTTTTCCCCAGATATGAGGCTTGCCAGACCGTCGGTGAGGGACCGGAATTTTTTGCGGAGGCCGCTTTTGCGCTTTGTTTTGGGGGTTGCACGGGATTCTTTGGATTCGGGTGGTGTGGCACTCACGGGGCGAGTGGACGTGAGCAAGTCTGGGGACTCTGATGCTTTCCAAAGAGTTCCAGTAGATCCTCGCCAGTCCTTCCCCTGTTGGGGGGCTTTCGATGAGCCCTTCATTTCCACAAGATTCGTTAATGATGTGATTCTTAAATAGAATTTCCAACTCGTTTAATACAAAATCACGTCTGCAAATTACGCTCCATTTTATCCAAGATCAATGAAACATAAGATACGTCCAATCAGCACATGAAACTAAATAGCTTTTCTTGTTCTGATAGGACCCTAATTTTCACTATGGACGTAAGAAATTGGCGGCATTTTGCAGCAAATAATCATTTTTTC